GGCGTTCTGATTAAGGTAACGCCGATGTTAGTTAATAACGGGTTTATTAGGTTCACACTAATAAATGGTCCCGCGGTCTCCTTATTACGCGGCAGCGCGGCGGCGTACGATGTAAATTTTAATAAAAACTCGAGCGGACCTCACAGCCGCGTTATGTACGCTCTGCTGTATATACACTTGTGCACGCAGATATGCACGTATATTTCGCATAAGCTGTGCAATATGCTTGGCCGACGGTACGATCTACCCGTAGCGCCGTTAATTCCGTCTGCCTTCAGGAAAACGCATAAAGAACTAATCCGCTTTCAGTTGTAACTGGAACAGTCGCGTGCTCGACCAGCGTTACTACCAAACGTTTACAATCTCTTTAATCATTTTGATAGCAACGCCACGATAGATACTTTCATAAAAAAAAATACGTTCGTACCGTGTCTCAGTAATTGATAAAAGCAATCGGCCGCCGCTAGAAGTTATTTAAATCGAGAGGACAATTTCGTGTCTGGCGACATTGGTGTAAAAACGAATTGTCAGGCATAAGAGAACCATCGTTCTTTCAAAAGATTCGTGATCAATTAATCGTTGCACGAAGTTCGACAGGTCTAAGTTTTCCAGAGCTCGAACAAGAAAATTGGGAGCGACGAGTACACGTTACAGAGAGGATAGGAAACGGGAAACGGTCTTGATTTGTATGTCGATGACAAACAGGGGGCTATAAATTCGGTTGACGCGGCTCTGTCGTGAAATAAATAAAAATGAGGGGCGAAACGCGCGGAACATTGGCTGCGGCGCGTGCATCGAATGCACGGTAGCCGCGTTCGGTTCAACTGGAACGTACGTATATGTATGTACGTTTTCCCGTCATAATTCCGCGCGGAGCGAAATGCGAGGTCGGTAAGCAACAGAGAACGAGAATAAACGCCTCCCCTGCTTTTTCCTTCCCTCACGCCCGTGCTCGTTCGTCACAGAGATCGTTAATACAGATCATTGGCCCGGTGCGTTAAACAATTGTCCCGTCAGACAGCGGCGTGTAACCATGTACAGTGACGCGACGTTACGATATGAAATCTTTATTATCGAAATAAACGTTCGACTCGTTTCTGTCGTATGACGTGATAAACACGAACGATGGTCTGAAATTTTGTAATAAAGAAAGCCTGTTAACCGAGAAAAGCTGTTGGTCGTGAGACAAGCTGGCCGAAGAGGGAAGGAAAATGTTTTTCTTTTTGGGAGGAAGTTCGAACGAAGTTGGCGAGGAGGCAAGCAGCGCGTCCTACTGCACCCAGCGGTGCCTTAAATTTATTTCTTAAGCCGGCATCTTTCACAACTTCCACGGGAATAAGTCTGCGGCCATCGGAGAACGAGCGAGGGGGATGGTGGGATGGGGAGGAGGGAGACGCGAAAAATTAGCGTGGCCTAAATATTACTGCACCCCGGGAGGAATTTATGACGGAACACAGCTTTTAGTTCGTACCATTTCCTTCGAGACGCGACCTTTTCGATGCCTCGACCCTTTCCTCTCGCCACCGCCGTTTCTCCTCGCGATTGTTAGAATTCGTTTCGCATCCGAGATTTAATTATTGTTAAGCGTTCAAAGTGGAAACAATATATATCATTCATGGCTCGTTCCAGGAATAATAACAATTCCTTTTGATTTCAAAATGAGATCAGGTAATTCGTAGAAGTTAATCGTTCATTAATTTTCTGTTTTTCGTTCGTACAATGTATCTTTAGTTTTTCCCTTCGACTATTTTATCTGAATCTTCATCTCTATTCAGTAGTCGTAAAATGTTTACGTTACCCGTGAAACGCTTCAATCTTTTAAATTCTAACACTGAAAATATTTGCATCCTGTCTCGCCTCGATTTTAAAGTTTCGTACAGAGGGAACATGTTCCATGTTGACACCGAGAAACAGAGCTTAACAATACTTTCTCCCCGACACGGATTTTTCGTGCAGCACGTTATTAGACATTTAGGAAACATTTTGAAAAATGTCAGAGCGTCGCAATGCGTGCAGGTGTAACGTTAATGCTTTCTCGTATAGATACGCGGAACACGTAAATCAAGCAGAGTATAACAATAGATCCCGGCTACTCCAACGCGGAGCACTTACCGGAGTACTATTGTATAATTGAAAGCAAACACGGCCAAACGATCAATAGAGTAATTAAACTTCGAAATGAATAATTAACCGCACGGTGTTGCGTTGCCGCGGAACTGGAATTTTCAAATCTCTCACAAAAATCTAACCAGCCTGCATTGTTATTATACGAATACTCGATGAGCTGGCTCTGAATTTTCGATACGAACAAGCAAACATGTTTTTAGTACAAGCAAGTACAGATTATCCTAAGAGCATTTCACTTCGCGTTACATTAGCTCAAAGAAATATATTTAAAAATGTTTTAAAAACGCCTTTACAACAGAAGTTGGATAAATAGAATTAGGTATTTCGATCGACAGAGGCTATTAAACGAGAGCTCGTTTTTTAGGGAATGCGTGTTCTTTGGTCGTATATACGGCAGTGGTGAATTGCGAGTAATAGGGCGGTCGATGGGGCAATTAACGAGGCCTGGGATCACGACGATATAAAATCTCATCGGACAGTCTCGATACGGTGCAATAAACACGGAGAATGTTAATTCAGGCATGTCGGCCAACGAAATTAAATTCCATTCGATTTTACAGTCTCTACGTTCGGCCAGATTCTGCCCGGGTTACGTAAACTGTGGCTCCTTCCCTACGCTGTTCTTCCTTTTTTATTTCTATTTCCGTTGCCCCTTTCGTATTAGCTCGTTCGCGTCGCGTCGACGCGCATGTTTGTCGTTTAAGTTTGTTGATTACGTTCGCGGCGAGTTCGGCTCCCGGGCTGAATTTATGATTGCGAAGTTTATTTGTTCATGCTCGAAACTCAAACGTTATTAGCCAGCGAGCCTAGGAGCTATTAAACCATGGTAAAACAAGTTTCCCGGAACACAGTATTTGTCGACGTTTGACAAGGAACCATACATATTTCCTCGTCGATCTACAGACAACGAGGAATTCTTCTGTTTTCTTAATCGTTCGAGCAAAATCAATTTCTTTTCGTTATGAAACAAAGACGACTGTTTATCTGAAGAGCACGCGGACAGAATGATGAAGCGAGGAAAAGGAGAAAAAAAATCTATCAATTATACCGCGTTTCGTGATTTAATTTTTGTGGTCGCGGACGGGTGCAGATTTTAATTGGAATAACGTCGCTCGGCCGGCAATAATTCATATTAATTCTGGGACCTTAATAACCGAGAGGTCCTGCCTGGCTGCCGGACCGATGATATTGGATTACACCATTGATTCATCATTACTATCGATCACCGACGCAGCTACGCGTGTCGCGACACGCTTAATGAGTATTCGCTAGAAGTGCCCGTTGTTCCCGTGATTAAACACGCATCTACATAATGCCATAGAAACGATTGCGAACGCCGCGGCCGACCCGCGCAGAAAAACCTCGTCCAGGTTCGCTCGGAATAATGGATTCGGTAAACGATTTCACGTTGATCCCGTACACAAACACGTTAGAAAACAGATTTTCCTGCCCGAATAAAATGCACGCCCGGGATTTCCAAATCCTCGTCAACGAAAATATAAACGGACGAAACGAATGCAAATTAAAGATTCGATTCAGAGTTTGTCACAAGTTGTGCAGGGAACGTAATTAACAGTCGCAGGTGGTAACGCGGATTGTAACACTTGATCGTTGAGTCTGGGGCATTAGTTACACGCGGTGTTCCTGATATGAATAATCGGTCAGTTAATTGCGTAAAATAATTTCCGTGATCGTTATCGGTCGGCGTAAAATAGCATTAAGCCAGTTCCAATCAATTGGCCGGTCGCCGCGTTGCATTGTTAACAGACGCCCGCCCCATAGTTTAATATTAATGAACGACGTTACCCGCACGAAATTAGCAGCCGTCGAACTGCACCATGACTGCGTCACGGAGATACCCGCGGCTCTAATGGATGGGACCGCGAAAACGCGTTCCTATTTTGCTCTGGGATTACCGACCGATTAATAAACACTGGTAGAAGCAATAATATGCGACTAAAACATTATAGGCTGCTAATGTCGGCTCCATATTTGCGAATTAGTGTGTCCATTCGAACGTAGTCTATGGGTTTGCAAGAGTGGACGAAGCAGTAAAATCAGAGTATCTGCATTAGCGCTGTCAGGCGAGGTGAAAGTACCTGTTACGAGACACCGGCTCAATTATAATCTACGCGTGGAAACAGTACCGTGGACAAAAAGAAATTATTGCGGCATACATGGACTGGTGATAAGCGCTTATTTCGTAAAGAATGTTCCTCAGCCCGTCCAATTGCTGACTTGACCAAGTCTCCAGAAATGTCCAGTGATTCCTTAAAATTATTTTGACGACCACGAATCTGTATTTTTACGCCCCACATCGGCACGGGATAGTAACAGACCATTTTCTTCTGCCGCAAATAATTTGCAAGAGCCAAACCTCGTGTCCATATTTCATTTAAACGACTCTTTCACGTTTCCTTTATTTTTACTACTCGCGAAACTGGTTCTCCGTTATCGCGAGGAGAATGAAATATTAAGACAGAGGTTTATTTCGAAGCTCCCGGGTAAAGCTCTTTCTATGCGTCGAACGTCGTAAATACAATAATAATTTAAGAGTTCGACCGCCCCCGATAAATCCGCAAGTGCGCCAGTTCCCATATCCAAGTATAACGGTAAATCGAACAGTATAGCCAGCAGCATTTACCTTTTCCTTGCGAATCAATTTCGCGTCCTAAGTACACTCCTCAGTCTTAGGCAAACGTCTACCAAACGATTTTATGAACCGTTGAATCAATAAGCAAGCGCAGAGTTCATACAAAATGTTTTCGAACGAAACGAAAACATTTTATGACTTCACTCTCATCAAATCGCCGTGTACGAAATACATTGGGAGAAGAGGCGAAGGTACGATTGAGCGGGTGGTTTGATTGCAGTCACTGACGAGACAACGGCCCCGAGAAAGATCGCAGACCAGGCCGGAGTCGCGAAGTTTTCCACCGAGCGTGGTTGCCTACATGTCGAGGGCAGAGACGGCGGCGGCGGCGTCCCCGGAAACCGGTCAGGACGAAGAGGAGTCTTTCTTCGAGAGGCCACCGCCGCCACCGCCTCCGCCTCCGCCCCCGGCGTCGCAGCAACAATCGCAGTCCCAGATCGATTCGGGAATCGGTGGATCGTCTAAAGACGAGGACGACGTCGCGAAAGTCGCGGACTTGCACGACTCTCCGGCCGACAGGGAAACGTCCGACGAGTTGGTCAGGTGAGTACAAATTTAAATGCCAGCGGAGTTAGTAAGACGCGCGGAGTGGAGTACGAGTGGAAGACAATATGAATTTTACAGGTTCGCACTGCAGAAGGACGAGAGGACGATGACAGACGGACAGGTCAGAAGACCTCGTCACATCCCGAGGGACCACTACATTTCAAGGTGAATACTATGATTCCTTGTTACGTCGAAACGAGTACTTAATCAAGCTCGTCTAGAAAGTCGGTCCGAGATAATTGAAACGGCGGTGCATGAAAATCGATCGCGATAAAAGTTGCTCGCGTTTGATACTCGACTTTGGATGAGCGTATCCAACGTCGAGGGCCAAGTGCAGTGATCTACAACGAGGGTAGAGATTACAGAAAAACGAGTTGGAGCAGGTCGAGGTACGATCGGCCGTTGGCCGACAGCACCAGGCTGCAGCAAGACGAAGGGGTGACTCTTAGGAGAGATTTGACCGGGGCTACGAGGATCTCACCGAGTACAATCGACAGAATATTCGACAACAGTAACAGGAGGCAGTACGGCATGGGGATCGTCGGTAGATACTTGGGGTGAGTTCACTGAATAATTACGTTACGTAATGCAATCCTTTGCTCGTTAAATAATGACGTGTCGCGTTACACGTTCGTTATGTCCATCACTCGTTGGACTCATGAAAATACAACTCGTTAAACAGCTTTCATTGCGCTGTATTATTTCTTTGGACGAAGCATTATACGATTCATGTCTCACCGAATATTAAATTTTACGGATTATTATCAAAGATACTTTCCAATCGAAGATCATTGCACTTCCTTCATTTATTTGGGAACACCCAGCGAAGTACGTTTCCCATCGATCCTGATTTTCCACATATGAGCATTTACCAAATATCGGTCAATCATTGTATATCGATGCGTTTACCGTTCCATGCCGGTGGAGGAATCGACTTGCTATCCGCAGTAAATGAATTTTCATGCGAATAACTTTATTAGTTTTCGCGCCTCGTATAAAATTTTCACCTGACCAAATACAATCGAATCCAACGTATATACGTATGAATAATTTATTGTTCCACAACATCCTTTGAATCCTTGATCTCCGATCTGTATTTCCGCTTTAATTGGTAATAAGAAAATGGAAAGAAATAATCAGGGCATTTCTAATTCGAAGATCTACCGAGCATTAATTTCCGAACTCGAACTTCGGCTTACTCGAAAGTTGCCAAGAAACAATGAGAAATCTGCGGTGGTAGGGACTGATGAATAGAAATTCTTATTTTATTCCGGCTCGCGGACGAGATGATGACGCGGGTATATTGAAACAACTTTTACGCCGGCCCCCTTTCCATTCCGCTTTAACAATCGCGCGAAGATTTTATGTATGTAGCTGCCTATATACGTACGACCTAGTTGGAGATACACATGGAGCACAAACAACAAACATGAACGCGGACGGCAAACGTCAGAAATGAGAAAGAACCGTGACGCGAGAGCTCGGGTCGCGCGAACAGCGTGATATTTAAAAAATGCCAAAGGGGGAGTTATTGATCAGACGGTGCTCTCTCCCTTCCCTGTTACGATTCTTCTGGGGAATTACGAAGTAACTGAAAACAGAGCTCGGTTCTCGAGTAAATCTCGTTTAGATTAGAAATTGTAATAGGAAAATTGTTTTCTGATTGTAGAAGATCGTTTCGTAAAAGCGTGTCGCAAAAGCCGGACGTCAGGAAACAGCTGGACGATTTCGAAGACCACCGCCCGTACTTCACGTATTGGATAACCACCGTTCAAGTTCTCATTCTGATAATATCGTTGGCGTGCTACGGTTTCGGGCCCGTGGGCATGGATCTCAGTCACAGATCAGGACTGGTGAGTAGCCTCTCTGAACCACTGGAGAACAGCGGACAGTGGACGCGTACGGACTCCAAAGGTGGACAGTAGAAAATAAAAAACTAAGATTTTGCTCGATTCGGTTGTGAGAGAGGTATTAGATTTCATGGGAATTGCATTAGGTTCTGGTGACCAGTCTGTCGTTGCAACAAGTGGACTACCAGGAGCCAGCGAATTTCTGGTTCGGTCCGCGAGCCGCAGATCTGATTCACCTGGGCGCGAAGTTCGCCCCGTGTATGCGACGGGACATTAAAATCCTGAAGGAGATCGATGTGTGGCGGGAAAGAGAACGGGACACGGCGTGCTGCATCAGAAACGACGACTCTGGCTGTGTGCAGTCCAGCAAAGCCGATTGCTCTGTGAGTCTCCGTTTTGTTTTCCGAGTAAATCCGGATTGGAGTCGAACACGTTGCCTACCAATCCTTTTCTCGTTCGCATTTTTATAATATAATCTTCTCTTTTGCACACCAACTGATCCGGGGATTGAGATCGACTGCCACGGTAAATTTCTCTGGTGTAGATTAAATATTATTTTTTTCATTCACCGTATCGAAAATTACTTTTTATTGCACTTATTGTCGATTTAATCATTATTTCTGCGTTAATCTTTTCAGTTTCGGTCGACTAGGTCTTCTGGTATTGATTTCATTTTTCATAGAACTATTCGAGTTACGTATTCGTTAATTTCGTTCAACAATTTCTGAAGTTTACTCACTGGTTCGTACGATAAAATGTAGAATACGATATCGACGTGGAAGAAGTGGGGTCCCGGCGACAGTGGGCCAGGCGGGCGCATAAGCGGATCGGTTTGCGGGTTGGACCCGAAATTCTGCGACGCCCCGGCGAGCATAGCACCGTACGAATGGCCGGACGACATCACCAAGTGGCCTATTTGCCGGAAGACCAACCCTTTTAATCAGCGATTCAGGTAAATTCGTTATCCAAAATTCGAGCCTCTTCACACCACTCAACAACGTGAATTCCCTTTTGCAAGAACTTTCTCCATGCTCGTTATGAAAAAATTCTTTCGATTTTAAGACTCGCGCGATGAACGTGTACGCGAATAATATCGAGGAAAACGATTTGCCTTGCTCAACAGTAGAAACGGGAGCCAGCGGGCAAACGGGAACTTCCCAGTGAGCCGGTACAAGGATAAAATGGCGGAGCACATGGTCTGCGAGGTGATCGGACACCCGTGCTGCATCGGCATCCACGGGATGTGCCGTATCACCACCAAGGAGTACTGCGACTTCGTCCACGGTTACTTTCACGAGGAGGCTTCTCTTTGTTCCCAAGTCGAGTGCTTGCACGACGTGTGCGGCATGATACCGTTTCTTCATCCCGAGTGGCCGGACCAGTTCTACAGGCTCTTCACGACCATGTTTCTTCATGCCGGGTACGAATCGTTCTCACATTTTTGATGAGTAGAAATTACCGCTGTTCTAACTCTTACGATTCGTTCAATTTTTTTGTGTGACTTCGTTTTCCGTTTTACAGAATTCTTCATCTGTCGATCACGCTGTTGATTCAGTACTTTTTGATGCGGGATTTAGAGAAGTTAACCGGCTCGCTGCGAATCGCTTTGATCTATTTCACCGGGGCGCTAGCCGGGAACTTGGCCAGCGCGATATTCGTTCCATACCGAGCGGAGGTATGTATACTTTAATTACAAATAACACGAAAACGCGTTGTTAAAAAAACGACGACACCTCTGTAAAGCTTACCGAGAACCACGGGCGGTCTGTCTGATTTATTAAAGCTTAGGCGTGCCCGGCACCCTGTGGCGCGACTGTCTTATCAGTTCGCCTCTTAACACGTCGGTGAACTTGAAGTTATACGTCGATTCTATTCCCTCCGGTTCTCTGTTCCCGTTTTCTCCTTGTATCAGTAACGCGCATTCGTGAATAATCCCGACTCCGGTGAATGCGGAACGGAGCAAAGGCAAACGAAAGGTAACCGTTTCACAGTGAACTAATACCGTCCAATTTGTTCTAATTAGTTTGGTTAAACGCACCCCCCGCCGTTTCCGGATATCCACTCTATCGCTCTTCCCACCCTTACCGCTTTAACGCGCCGTGGTGTTAATTATTGTTCCACGCTGGCTGGCTCGGAGGAAGCTGGTCCCCGGCGTTAACGCGATTTGTGTCGCGTGGATTATCGATGACTTACGGCGAACGATAGTTACGTACTCGGAAGGATTCTCTGTTCGCATTGAGTCTCCTTTGTTAGAACCAAACAGGATTCAATCGTGTTTCGCGAAAGGAAATCTTATCACCCGTATCGTTCATCGTAACTTTCGACACGAACATTTCCCCGATTATACATTCTACTGGTACACACTGAACGAACCGATCGTTGCAGGTGGGACCGGCAGGCGCGCACTTCGCCCTTCTGGCAACGTTGATCGTCGAAGTGCTCCACTGCTGGCCGATGCTGAAGCATCCACGCCGGACGCTGTCCAAGCTGATCCTCGTCTTGGTCGGCCTGCTGATCTTGGGCATTCTGCCATGGGTGGACAACTACGCCCATCTGTTCGGCTTCATATTCGGCTTCCTGGCCGCGTACGCTCTGATGCCGTTCATCTCGTTCGGCCACTACGATCGCCGGCGGAAGATCTGGCTGATCTGGATCTGCCTAATACTGATCGTGGTCCTGTTCACGTTGCTCCTCGCGCTGTTCTACAACGTGCCGGTGTACGAGTGCGAGGTCTGCAAGCTGTTCAACTGCATCCCGTTCACGCGCGACTTCTGCGCCTCGCAGAACATCAACTTCAAGCGAGAGGAGCCCGTATGACACACGGGGCCGCGTTTCGAAGTCGAGTTCGAACCATCATTTACTCGGGAGGAACCGCGTTCCCGGCGACGCTTGATCGTCGCGCTGGCCCTGATACAATTTACGATTCGCGAGCCCGTGAACCGGCAAACGTAGAGACACTCTCGTCCCCGACGAACGACACTGCCTTAAAACGTTAAAGATAACTTCACCGGGAACAGCGGTGGTCTCTCAGCCAACGGACTCTGTGCTCCACGGTGGAATGTAAATATTTCAATTCGCCTTTAAACACGATTCGAACGTGACCACGTTTCCCGACGGTGTTCCGAGGGCGTGCTCGCTCCTCGGTCTGAAAGTGTTTAGCGGACTCGGACGGTGAATCACGAGTCTCGAGTATACCGAGGAAGCCTGGCCAGCCCTTTAGAGTATTTAACAAATGTGGGAGAAGACACGTGTACATAGGACGGAAACTCTTGTTACATATACGATCTTCGGTAAGATTAATTTTAGAGGAAGAAAGTGTTTCGCGGTAAGAGACGACCTCTGACGCTGGTACTTAACTGTGATGGCGCGCCCGCAACCTTCGAGAATATTTTTCATAACGAGGAGGAAACGTGCAACATCTAGGGAGGGGAGGTACGTCCAGTACGCGTCTCGTTCACGTGAATCGGATGAGCTTAACTCGTCGGGTCGGAGGAATAGAAATCGCAGTAACGACATCGAGAGGAAAGTGTTTCACGAACATTGAGTACATATATCTGGTGAATAATAATGAAGTAAAATAAATTTAAAAAAAAAAAACGAATCAATTTTTTATAACGGCGTGAAAGGGAGAGAGCGTGAGAAAATGAGGAAGGGTGCGATTATCAGAAGAACACTTAATCAATTTTCCAACTTGTACATAATTATAGACCGCGGGGGGAGTATCGGTTAAGGGCGTGGGACGAAGACGATGGTAGAACGAGAGAAACAAAGCAACGCTGTGTCACTCGTGAACGTGTATTTTATTATGACGGGTAACGTAAACGTGAGAAGCCGAAGGAGCGAGAGAAAAGAGAATGAGTCTGTTCGTCTTGTCGCGTGTAAACGATTCGTTTCAGTATGTACACACAACGTAGCAATAGCGTATGTGATTGTGCCACAACGTGGAGATCGTCGCAACGGAGAGGGAGGAGAGATTATCGAAGGTAAGGGGGAAAGAAATTTTGCGGAGTGTCGCGTCGCGGGAATCGCTCGTTCGTAGTTCCATCGTGCTCGACGGTGAAGTCGATCTCGTCGACGCAGCAACGGCGATTAGTCTATAGAAACGTGTCGCGGAAGGAAATTGTGTTTCCTTCACGTTAATTATTATTTATCTTTGCAACAGCCTCTAGAATCATTTTTCGTTTATCGAATGAAAGGTCTTACGATCGACGACGATTATCTTGCTCGAAGAATTCGATTATTGCGAAGAACGAAAAGTTTAAAGTTTTCTATTTTAACGCGAAGGCATGGTTTTCTATCCTCGTACGTGTTGAGCATGCCACGACGCACGTTTATTATAATCATCAGTATTCTTAAAGCGTACGTATTAAAGTACTTTTCTCAAAAATAAGTGAGAGAACACGATTCAAATGCGGCATAACTAAGCGCGTATTGTATTCTATTATTCATATACTCGACGAACGATTTTTATACATTTCCTCTGCGTACGTTCGTGTCTAGCGCTTGAAATTTCAGAGATATCATTTCCATCGGCTTAGGAAGTAATGATGTTAGTTTGACACTGAAAAATCTGGCTTGAACGTAAAGAGGGATCGTGAGCCAAAAATTGAAAGTACAATGAAAATCGTGAACGATAATCGACACTTATTTGAGTATCCCTTCGCTATTTAGTACAGTAAATGAGATAAGCGATCGACCCGGCCTGGATTTATGGCAAATGCGACAATTGCGATAATCGAAAACCATGCTCGATGAAGTGAGAATTATATCGACCAAACCTCGGCCTGCGTTTCCAATTGTTTATGTATCGTTAGGGACCGTATAATGTTTCCTTGTCGAATACGCTCGGCCATGCAACGCACAAGTTTCTGTGTCTTTACCGCGTGCCCCTAACGACTTGTGTTTCCTCGCAAGGGATCGACGTTAGAAAACGATTAGGGCAGGATCAATGAAACGGCTCCCTTGTTCTCGCGACTGTGCAAGAATGGCCTTTCCCTTTCTTAAAAATCTTACTTCGGCTTTGAGTCTTTAATAACGTTCCTGCGCAGTTCATTAATCTCGAATCGTAACAGATATTCCTCTTTGAAAGTAGCGCGATTTAAGACGAATTTCAATTATGATTGTCACAACGTTCGTTCGTACTCCTGTACACTATTTTTACGAAAGGGATGCACCCCACTCTGCGATCGCCGTGAGAACAATTATTCGATCACGCACACGATCATTACATACAATGATTCCATCGTTTCCTACTCTACTTTTAATTTGTGTAAATAAAAAGCCAGCTATTCCAATCGTAACGGCGAACCATAGACGACCGCAATTCGGATTAGGCGAACAGTAGGCGTGTAAAGCGTAAAGAGAAACTTTGTGATAAACGATAAGAGAAAGGCCGAGGTAAAGATACGACGAGAATTGGGGGTAAGGGGGTTCAGGACTTTTGGATCAGACACACGTACACAGACACACACTCAGCCACGCTGAAATTTTCGGATTATATAAATATATAAATATTATAAATACGAGTATATAAATATAACACGTATACATAAAGAGAGAAAAAAAAATACGAATTAAGGACCGAGGTGGACCCCGGCGATCGTCGACGAGTAACATATTGTTATTATTGTAAATGTGTCATATACAGGTAATAGCATGCCATAAAAAGATGAGAACAAGTGAAATCGAAGAATGAGAGTGAGAGAATTGGGTGGGTGGGAACCGCGTGGAAGAGAATCAGCGAAATACCTTTGGATATTTCCATACCGATCACGGCGAGGTGGAATGTCGTCTTTCGCCACCGGGGACGATCACAGTCGACTGCGTTTACGTTTGTGTCTACCCTTCGGAGAGGCGGCAAACAGGAGGCTACGAGAGCTACGATTAGGCTAAACAAAACTTCCAAAAATCCCTTCGATCGATTCTTTGAACGTCTCCTCGGTGTTCTTCAAACATCAATTCCAAGCACACTTTTCAATTACTAATTATCATTCTAGACTGCCTGCGTAGCTGTATAAATTTTTATTTGGGATCCATTACGATCGAAATGACTCGAGACTCGCCTATCTTTTCAAGCTTACTTCATGTATTCGTCATTAATATCCGACGCAGTGAAACACACGTGTTCAATAAAGTAGATCGTTCATTAACAGTTTTCCAAGTTGTCAATATTAACAATTATTTCATAAGCATTTCGAATTATATCGAATAAAGATTAGTCATCGTATCGAGCAAAGTACACGGTTCATTAGGAAGCAGAAACGTAAGTAGTAAGAGTCAACGCTCTCGCAGCCCTGGTCCTCCCTCCGCAGGCGAGGCGTTGTCCAAAAGTGCTCGAACAATGTTCTTGATCTGACAAAGAACCATCCGACGTAGATATTGTATTCGTTTGATGTACCCGATCGTTTTTGGCACGTGTCCCTCAAACATGAAAATAAAGAAACCGACAAACGAGAAAACCGAATCACGCGAGTTGTCCCCGATTTAACTTCGTCGAAAACAGAAACGATTTGTACAGGCGTGAGTCCTCTCGACGATTCGCTCTCGATCCGTCGATGCACATGGCCAGGGAGGAATCTGATTATTAAAGCAAAGGGAGGGAGAGAGAGAGAGAGAGAATAGCGACGAGTCGAAGCGCATGCACCAAAGAGGAGCGTAAAGAGTCACAATGTCTTGTAAATAAAACGTACGCGTCGAAAATGGACCAAGGACCTAAATAGTGCAGCTCGTGTAAAATCGAGTATCCCCGATCTCGCTGATCACGTAGACGAGCTCGGCTGGTAGGATTCGTTAAGTAAAAAGCTACAATTTATCCTAACGTTGTTGAAAATGCGGCGTGAGGTCGGATCGCGGTCTGGCGATCCGGGATTTTCTGTCCGTCAGTTTCTCTCGCGAGCATTTGATCACTCATTGGTTTGCCATTCGGTGATCGGACGCCTGCCCGATATTCGTAATTCTTTAGGATGGAGGGGAATGAAAGTGCACGTAAGTTCGAAGAAAGATAATTTCCGGAGACGAATTGAAAACGCGAAGTAGCGAGAGGAACACGTTTACGAAGTTCGCGATGATCGAAAGATAGCGGGTCCCGGATCGCGAACGAAACTCGGCAACGGAGACAGAGCGGATCCGTGCGAGAGCAAATTTATTCTAATGACAGTCCTCGATCCCCTTTTATATATATACATATAAATATATATACATATACATTTAAGAAGATTCCACCACAGCCGCGCGGTATTATTTTTCTGTATCCCTGTATCTATAACGAGTGATATAAGCATTAAAATGAACAAAAAGCGATGATGAACGTAACGAGAACGACGACGATTAACGAGGACGACGGTGAGACAAAAATGGATTTAAGGGTTAACGAGTAAATAACGACTGTACTAATTAAACGATTAATTATTATGGATTACTTCGCCAGGTATTTTCGTTTTCATCTAGTAATCGGTAAGGTTTTCGATTACGATTATTATTACTGATCATAAACGATGCATTGTAATTGTCGCTGTTATATACAATACATACATACGTGCGTATAAAGAGAAGATATAGACGTATACGATGTGTGCACACGCGCGCACAGAGACACAGAACACACACACGTTTGGGCGCGCGGGTTCTCTTTAAATTTACACGCCTGTGCACATATGTATACGTGTATAAGTCCTTGAACAACATATTAATTTAATAACAATAAAGAAAACGTGAAACTCATCACCTGAATCTGTTCTTCCTACTTTAGACGCCCCGATTGTATTCTTTCTGTACGCATACCACGCTGGCCTACCGCACGATATCGTTTATCTCAATATCTCGCACAGTAGGGTTCACGCTCGTTCACGGAAATTTGTTGAACATATTAATTTGGTAGAAAAAAGTGTTACGGCTACTTCTTATTTTCGTTGAAACGAATCAACGGCCTTGAAACGATGCATCTCAGCTTCCGCAAATGGAACATGCCTGTTGACACGCTTTTATTCTACGAGAATCATGCATTAAAGATGAGCGAACTGAAATGCATAGCCAATTTTTTTTACCTAAGAAGCAACGGGCCGTAGTTTTAGCGGAAAAACGAATCGAAACGGAAGGAGCAACTGATTTTAGGAATACCGTAGTAACAACGGTGTAGAGATATATTAGTTCAGTTAATGTAATAATCGAGAGTAATTAAAGGTGAAACGGATAGCTCTTGATAATTTATAGTAGCCACCGTGTTCATTTACCTAGGCACGGTAATAATTTCACCGGCAAAATTTACGACTGCTTATTTTTTTTTTCCATACCTAAATCCCGGGGAACCGTCACGAAAATTTATTTCCCTTTATCCGCGACCCATTTTTTGTCCCCCGATTTATGAACAAGCCGAATAACAAGCGTGGCAATTTATTAAGTTCCATTTTTTCGTCGTGCGACCCGTTCGTCTCTACAATGCACCGGCTGATTTAAATTCGGGACAAAGGCGCGTTAATGAACCTCTGAACGATAAAATTGGCCCCACCCCCGATGCTAGACAACGCTCGTCCACCCGCGAGCGACTTCTCTCAAACGATTCGTCAGCATTAATTTGTTTACCGACTGATAAACGGTCGATCTCAATGATATTTCATTTACAAAAAATTGTCCCCAGACGATAAGCTAAATCATTTCTGATCGCGACGAGCACGTGATACCGAGTATACGACGACATTAAACGATCAGACTATGCAAACGTATCGCATGTGCAGGGACATGACCGTAATACTATCTGCTGCGTGGCCAGATAACGTTTAGGTGCATCACCAGTGCAGAGACAATACGGATTCAAGGGGGTGTGCAAGGGTTGCCGTGGGGTAAAGGAGAAGAGGGTAGGAACACGGCCTTTGTGCTAACTGAGATCCCAGTGCAGCGGATGGAACACTGAGCCGACAATATGCTTCTAAACCTTACGTAACGCGATCTCCTTGTTCTCGTACCTGCGTTAACACGCGTGTGAGATGAACTCTCAGGCGTCCGTCGATTTCTTTGAAAGGTTTTCTTAAAGTCAACAAGGAACAACACCGTTCGCGACTTTCTACCAAGATCGATTCCATATAAAAGACTTTTATTCTAAAATACAAACGTATTTGGAAGAAAACGTAATAACGTTTCACGTGCAATAGCACGCTGTAAGTTCTTTCACGTTCAGAACAAAAGACAAATAAAAATGCAATTACGTTGCAACCGCAATCAGAATAAGTTTCCTTAACTACGGCGCCTGATCACAACGTACGATAATTATTTTCTTACAATCCGTTTTACGATAAAAACCAGGAGAGGTTGAAGTCGTCTGGGAACGCGCTCACGTGCGAAGGCGTGCGAAATGGAAATTAACAGAATTCATTAAAACGTACGATTGAAACATGCAGCAGGTAGCTTCGGAGGTAAGCACGAGGGCCCTTCAATTTTCAAACCAATTTACCGTGGTAATCTCAGTGGCAGAACGAAGCAGGATTTATTCTACCAAATATAGTTCGACTTGAGCAATTTTGATAATTCAGGAGGATCTCATCAGAGCAGCAGAGTCTATGTTTGTCTGTGTACATATGTATATGATGATCAGCATTAGATTTCCACTTGATCTCAGTAATTCCTGAATTTACGAATTTGCTTTAAACTTCCCAGTAATCAATTAAAGTACCCAGTTAATCAAAAGTATCCAACCTAAACGCAGAATACTTCGCATGCTAGTCAAAGTAACATGAATAAAATGGTTTAATGGAATAACGTAATAAATGGGTAAAGCGGGAGGGTTTGAAAATTTAATGAAAACCGAGACACAATAAAGCACGTATTCCATGAAAATTTACTTTTACGTCGTGGATACGTTTATGCAGCCTTGACAACGTAAACGATGCATCGAGTAACGACGACGCTCAAACTACATTAAAGACATCTGAGTGCACGCATTCGCGGGAATTAGGCTTTCCGCGTTTGCATCGAACTCGGCCGAGCAACAAACGATAATTCCGACAAAGGAGATGCCAAGTCGCAGAAACGCACGCTAATTATGGTTCCGCTAAGACAATTATAATGAAACGCGGTTTAATTGAAACGCCTTTAAACTTCGACCGAGGCAGCCGAGCTGTTCGATCCGGACGATTGTGCGTGTCACAAATGCTCAAGTGATATAGACGTTTGACCGTGATTCGATTTTAAATAACGAACAGGTACAACAAACATAAAAAATGTGCATACCATTCGTTTGATTAATCATGCATTATAGATGTTCTATCCGAACGACAAGAAATTGATAAGAAGAATCTGATGCGATCAACATGAGACACGTTCTATACGCATAACGATTAGGTTCAGGAGTACTCAAGAGCTCCTCATTGATTGTGACTCGCACAGTGTATAAACACGCGAGGATTCGACGAGGTGAAAGGGAAAGCTGAGGAAACCATGAGATCGATAATCGTTCCACTGTCAAGTGGCAAAATAAAGAGACGATCATCGTTGAAGAACTCCGGGAATCCGGTCGTCCTTCTGATTCTACGATTCTTGCACAAGCACGTTTTACGTTCTAAACGACCGCGACGCGTTGCTTCGCGGGCCTCCGAATTCCGTTCACGATCCAGCCGAGACCGAGACAAAGACGAACGAGCTAGATCACCGAGCGGACTCGGGAAAGAACGACTTCTTCCATCATGCATTATGCAAAATAACGTATTAATAACACCCGCTTTCCGAGCTGATTTCCAAGCGTATGCTGATCGAGCCACTCTCCCTCCGTCGTATAGACGATCGTGCCTCTCTTAATATTTTATGCAACGCGTAATACGCCAAACATGTATAGAATAGATAGAGATTGAAATATTTTGCGGAAGATCCCGTCCTCAACGCGAATGATCTATGCAAAATAGTTCTCATATTGGACCCTTTAACATCGACATCTACCCGTGTCGCCTTCTTCAATACTCGATTATACGAGATTTAATACATTTATTTATGCGACCTACTATACCGAAACTTTACTATCGTGAACACTATCGCAATATATCTTAAGGACATTGCATCCTTAATTACAGGATTGTCACGACTGACACATCCTTTCGTGTCATCCACACGGGGTGTTTACCCACCCAAGAACGTAGAGGAGAGAGTAAAAAGTTTACACAGTACTTGATCCCAACCCTTAGAAAAACCATCGAATATCCACTTCTTCTTTTCCAACTTGTATGGACGTGCTTCTTATCTTGGTGGTACTATGGACAACACAGGAACAGTTTCATCGTATCAGGGAGATACTAGGGCTTATGCTTTTGTGCGACTGCAAAGCGGTCGTCATTTTCGCAACGCGAATTGAAAGTTAATCGAGGAAGCTACTTGAATAAAAAATTGAAAACTAGAATTCTACGCAAATACAAGTGTAAAAATGCAAAAATAAACCCGTGATCGTGATTCGCAACGCTACTTCAAAACGCGAAGTATCTCGCGACCCTAATTAGAGAACAGGCATTTTAATTCGCAACTCTAATCCAAATTCGCGATCTTTATCAGTACTTTATCAGTAAAACGCGACCTGGAATCCAAACCGTGATTTTGATTCGCAACTCATCCGAACCATTCGCAACGCTAAATGAAACCACGATTGCCCAAGACATTGGAACACCAATGGTCAGCACGATTGGTTACAAAATAAAACGAGCATAGTGACAAAGTAGCAATTGGATGACTCTGCATTTGGGAAATTATATAAACATAATTTCTGAATGCACAGTCATTGATAGTTGCCCTCTTCCGAAGGTGCATATAGCACCGGGCCTCTTCAGCCGTAGCCTCTTCTTTCTTCGGGCAATTTTGCCCCAGTTGGAAGCACGCGTAGAGCACCGGATCAGAAGATCACGGGTCTGTACAAACGTGCTTCGTCTCGAACGGAACGCGTTTCAGGCCCACCCCATGTCCGCGATCACGAATGACGAAGAATCGTCGTACAAGAGTGGCGTTCGAAGAATCGGCCGCGTGAAAATAATTTTTCACCGTTGATCGTTTAAACGCAAATTTTCTGAGACAGGTTGGACACAGCGAAAAAAAGAGACGCGAGTAAGAACGTGTCAACCTGCCCGGCCCTATCTACTTACATACTAACACAGGCGCACCAGAAGTCAATTACCTGCCTGCCTGACCCTCCTACATTTAAGAAAGGCAAAACAGACAAACCAACAGACTCACACGGCACGACGGTACGTACGGGCTTTCGTCCTCTCGGATGTAGGGGCCTGCGACAGTCGTCCCGGGACGACTTCACACCCGAGTTTAACATACAAACTGATTCGCACTCTGGCGTATGTACGTACCGTTCACCTGTAATCGGCTGGCAAAACTAGCTATTACAACGAATTACTATATTAACTTCCTGAATTAATCATTCATCTATTACATACACTTGAGCTTCTAAAAATCGAATGAAACATTGCTTCGAGGACTGAGAAATAATAATGGGAAGAGGCTTCAAGCGTTCAATTGTAAAGAACATCGACGTAAGTCCGCGAACGAATCACACACACCATGCGGAGATTATGTCGTGCACGATATACTAACTCGCCAGCCGATAAAAAATACTTATAAACTATGTACAAAAAGTTCATCGTGCCTATCACCTATCACCCATTCAAGTAACACCTGAGCACGTGACTGGGATCCTGGCGAGTAAACACGGAAGACGTACCTGAAAATCCTGATCTAAAAAATGCATGATTAGAATTTTCCACGTTTTTAACCAAAATGACTCTACTTTAATTTTATTTAATAGGCTTTAAAAGACTCTACGTGAAACATGAATAGAGCTTCATTCAATTGAAAAGGATTGGAACGCAATTGTAATTGAATTAAGAACTCTCAAAATCAAACATACATAGAATAATAAATAGCAATTGAAATATGCTATGGGAGATTCCTTCGTCAAAGCGAGTGATATATGTAAAATAGTTTTCATATTGGACGTTTTGACTTGGAAATCTATCCGTATCAACTTTTTGTACATGAAATCTAATACATCTCTTTATGCGGGCGACTAAACAGAGACTTCACTATTGCGAACACTACTGCAATGTATCATAAGAAAGGTATATCTCACGAAGTCGGAGAACATGCAACAAACATGTACTTAAATACTCATTGAAGAATACATATATTTTTCAATGAAACGTTTGTTCTCAATATCGTTCTCATTAATATGAAATAAATCGCGGGTACAAAAAGCCCTGACCTGAGCTGACATATCAATGAAATATCACACAATACATATAAAATTGTCACTACTTCCGAGCGTTTGTAATAATATTAAAAACGCTCAGAGTCACTATGCTCGTCCAACAAGTACAAAATACAACCAGTCATCCGTGCCGTTTCGAACCTTTCGTCCCGACATGATGAATGACCGGAGGAATTTAAAAGCATGCGACTCACTGTGATAAAATCCTTCGTCGATGCTGTTCCACCAATTCCAAAAATTGAGGGATGTCAGGAACCAGCTATCAAAAGTCATGAGATGCCAGGAACCAGCCACCAGCAAAGAAGAATAAAGATGAAAACTGTAACAGATAAGAATAAAAGAACGTCATGATTTATTTTTACTCTGTTCTTCAGTAATTTTCCAAGACTTCATTACTTTACATCAAAGAACGAAATCTAATTGAATCGAGTATATTCTCGGTACTTTACCACTTGTCAAGCCAAGATCGATCAGATCGATTCACGCTCCTCGGCTGTCAATTATATGCCCGGCATCGTCGACGTGACGCTCGATTCAGAATCTATAACAAAATCAAACATGCATCTAAAACGACCGTATAAAAACGGAATCTGTTGTCGAAATGAGAACGTAAGAACGAATCTCGAAAGAATATAGAAATAAGTCGCGAAAGTGTAAGTAGTGAATCGCGGGAACGTCCAACAAGTAGTTGAGCAAACCCAGACTGGTTGATCGGTATGAATAACGACAGTCAACAAATAATAGTGTACGGACAGTATTTGTACTTACGAAAAGTAATAAATGCGTCGAAATATTAAGCATCTAAGGGTTTGAAGATCAAAGTTGAATGCCGACACATCCGGACACAGACAGAACAGCTGACGCCACGAACATGCCACACAAATGCAAATGGCGGACCGAGTCAGCAGTGGGGGCTTCCGCTTCGATCACGTGATCGACGCGCAAGCGCATCGGCAGTGCGCGAAAGATGGCTGCAGAATAGTGTTACAGTGATATAAGTGTTTATTAATAATTTCAACAATTGGACGAACTTTGATGCTGACACGTCTCTCTTCTTCCTCTCAATGTAAGTACCAAGAAAGAAATATCTCTAACAAGTAGATCATCGAGTGACTCATAGCATACGTCGTATATTATCTCCTTTACGAAATTCGAAATACGTGTTTCGACCGTAACTTTGTTATTTGTACGTTCAATGTAAGGAACGTTCCCGAAATTTTCGAGGACTCGCCCCAATCCCGAGAAAAAGTCTTGTTCCAAACCAGCCCGATAAAAATTTATAAGAAAATTAACATAAACCAGTGAAGTCGAAAGCAGAATAGAAATATGCTAAATAGAACCAGCGGAATTATTTAAGTACTCATGTTTATAAGGTTGTCTGTTTCGTTGGAATGTCCCACGACATTTCCGTGGCAGGGGAACGATGTTTCTATGTTTGCATTCCCGTCTCGAGTATTCAAATTGCTGTCGCACGAGTTTTATTGTCCCGCAAAAAAAGCAACACCCGCACGCTACGAGATTGCGGCGTGATGCTTCTAATGGAGACGGTAAAACTGAGATATTTAATGGACCGAGGGGAAAGAAAGATCGTGAGATAGGGAGAGAGAGAAGAATCCTGATACGTCAGAAAATTAAATTCAATGATTAATGACTCCGCTTTTTTTTCTTCATACAAAGTGACACGATACACGACTGGATCGAGGACACGGTCATTTATAATGTTACTGATTCAGTGGTTTTAGTAGGAAGATGTTGATCACATTTGGAAATCAGACATTACATATGTATACGTATCGTATCCCATTCCTACAAAAATATTCGCACTGGAAACCAGAACGAGGTATTGGAGAGTAATTCGCGCATCGATCAGGCAAGTTTTAATCGCACGCTTTTAATGGTCGTCACCGAGCTCCCAGCTTTAACGCAGGATGTGCATCAACGTGAAAAAGCTTTCGACTCTGTCTCCCTCTTCGGTTTGCGTTTCTCCTCGAGAACGAAAGCCTATCTCCTCTTCGGGTTATGTAAACGCGTATACGTACGTCCTACTTGGATTGTTCTTCGACAGTGACTAGATGTAAGATCGATTCAACATCTCGTCCCGAGTTTCTCCTTCGCGTTCAGCTCGTTCCATTAGCGCTATTTTCAATATCTCCAGCTGCGATTATTCTAACTTCGGCGAATTCAGTGCAACGTGGTCTAGAATCTCTGCTCAGAGTACAGTCACGTAGTACGACGTACACGAAATATCCACGGATTAAACACGAATTCACGAAGGTTTGAGACGCGTTAATGAACCGAATTTTAATCACAGAATGATTGACACTCTAGAAAACCTATTTAAAGTAACAATTGCAATTATGAACAGGTATGATCACGATCCATTTGTAACGGTGGATTCTTCGTTTAATTCTAACAATAAATTTCTCAATCAATGAGTCGTACGCTATATGGAAAGATAGTACCGATTCGATCTGTCATGTTTGCATTCGGTCAACGAAAAACTGAGGAGGTTCAATAAACTTGTCAGTGGCAAAGTATGAAACAAAAAATCACGTATTCCCATCCCGAGGAAGAATCTCGATGGTGAAACGGGCGAGAGGAAATCAGAACCCCTCGGATGGCAGCTCGGCCCTTCCCTTTAGAAGAAATCCATCTGGTACGATCCCCCAGCTGTTTCAGGCTGCAAGAAAAACGCGAAAAACGCGGTGAAACGCGTTCCTACGTTCCTCCCGACGACAACGACATACGTTCCGAGGAAAACACACGGAGGAACGGCTTTGTTCGCGGTACAGGGAGAGGAAGGTTTCAATAACGTCGGCCCCGGGGCCCAGTCTCCGTTCGGGCGCGAATAAATTCTCCCCGGGCCAAACTACTAGTATCCATTACTTTCCTCTTATCGACGTCGCATTTCCTTCTCGCGTCGCGTCGTGAAGCAGCACGTGACCGTCCACCAGCCCTCGCCGAAGAGTAAATAAGCCGTAAAATATTGGCCACCCTTCGTGTACACTCGTTCAGAATAGCGAGCTCTTATTTTATATCGTTAGAATCACAAGTGTCCCTGATCCGATCCCCTTTTAGTCGACTCTTACGACGACTAGGGATCACGAATTCCGATCCCAGAGGGCTGAAAACCTTCGATCATGGCAAATCAACGATCATCTCGAACGGGTAGACGTTAGAATTTAAATTACTGCTCTACACGATGAATTTTCTTTCAACGCTTTTGAATGCTTCGTCGAGAGTGTATACATCGATACGTGTCGACCGCGAACATCTGATAGAATTTGCCTGACGATCAGAATATGAATGAACCTCCTCACTATATCTTTTCCGTAACTGTACCGCCGCCCCACGCTTCGGGTAAGGGTAGGCAACTGACTGGATTTTCTTCGCGAGGGTCGAGGTTTCTTCCTTCGAAGGGGTTTCACGGTATCCATCACGCGAGCTGTCAAAGCCACGCGGAATAAATGTAGCTTGTAAGACGCTCACGTCCCGACGCCCCCGAGGCGACGAGGGCCGGCTGTTAATATCTCGCCGAAGTTCTGACGATTCCTGCTAATGACGCGCGAACCGGTTCCCAATGGAAGAATTTACTTCCACCAGACGAGAGCTCGTTCTTATCACTGAAACCTTGTTTTATTCGGATTAAATTTTTTGTACATTTATTGGTAACAACGGGACGTCTCAGGTTTCAAGAAGAGAACTTCCCGTGTACGTATTAAATTTTACTTTTGGAGCGCTTCTCTTACAAGTCGTGAATCACGAACTTCGTTATCTGACTGACGTTCTCGCAAAAGATGTCTGCAGTGGATATTGGATTAACGTCTCGACGTAGCGAAATTAAACACCGCGATAAGGTAGAAATGATAAAGTGCAGATAAGATTACTAACGCATTGTCTACATTTAGAACAAACAAGTGATCTATTGATACGATTCTTATACATCTCACACGCATCACGTCTCCTATGTTATCTGTTTGCAACGTGATTCATGTGTACCTGTTTCACAACCTTGCTCTCATTATTTCACACTTCCTTGTCGACTTAACGACGAATTTATTAAGCTGCAGCGTTTAAAATAGAAGTGTGCGTTCGCTGACTGTGAACTGTATGCATTCACTAATTTCAAATAGTGATATTGTTCAGTCCACTGGTAAATGGTTCATAACCCGGCACGAAAAAACCGTCCAACATTCTTTAATTAATACGAACAACGTGTGCACATGAATTCCTCTTTCTGTAAATTTAATTACAGCCGCGTTCGCGGTACAAGGATGAAGCAGAGCGATGTTTCATTCAACGGCATAAATTAAAATTCTCTCACGCTGAAGATACGTTCTGCCCACCTTTGCGATTAATAAATGGCTGACTTTACAAAAGGCGTTTCATATTTCTCGCACTGTTATCAATTCTACTTAAACGTTACAGTGCCGATTCATTTCACCGTCCATTTGTCGTACCGTAAATCCAGTTGGATTTTAAAAACTGGGAATAATAGTTCACGAATTTTAACCAGTTCTCACTAGTTCGATCTTATTAAAATATTTGCATCGTTTATTGAGCGACTTGAAGCGCGTCAAGTTGACTATTCCCGGTCGGTAGAAGGTGTTAATTTATCAAGACGTTGCGAAGCTGCTATGATACGACTGCGATACGACTCCCTTGAGAAATAGAGAGAGACCTTACATCTCGGGAAAATATTAAGACCGCGGCGTGCGAACAACGTTGCGAGCTCGGAAAGTTGGACCGCGAAGTAAGCATCGCGCGGACGTAAACTTAACCGATGTGTCTTATTGCTTAAGTTAGTTCCTGACGTTAGGGATCTTAAGTGCCCTCGTGTTTCTCACTTACACCGCGGCGATGAATCACAGGTGGCACAACGTGGAGATGCAAGTTGCCTCACTCTTAACTGGAGTCGGATCTTCCACGTTTTCAACCCCTTCCGCGATCTGATCTATCTCCGGGAAACATGCCCCCGGAATTAAACGTTTTTGCTCCAACAAAGTCAACGGGTAGCCATTCTTCTGATGTGTTAACGAGAACTGACGTATTGAATACATGATCGTTCGTCAAATTATTGAGTACCAGCGGTCCAGATCGAACTTCGTCCTTTCTGAGAACGTATCTAATAAGAAACGGAAATTCGATTCTCGTAACCTCGTGCCTCATTACGGTCGACCTCCTTGAGAATCGTATTATGAAGTCCATTGTGTTTCTAACAGATTAACGACATTAATTTCAGACACGAGTTCTAACAGGCTCGCTGTACGTTATCTGCCATTGTACAAAATGTATTTTTCCTAGAGACAGTCGGCTCTTATCGTTTCATCGATACGTATAAATTGCAACAGATTTTTCTGGAACATAATTAGCGTGCACGTTATTCAATGGCGTGTATGACGCGAGCGCAGCGCATTAGGCGTGTCTGGTAAACGATCACTGCGCGCAACGTTAGTCTGCGTCTGTGCGAGTGAAAAATGAAAATGTCAAGTGGAGAACGGACCCGACCCACGGGTAAATCCCAGTGTATCGCGGCTGACGATAATAAAGTACGAGTCGCTGTGTACTCTGGTAACTGCCCGTACAAATTGTTATGCAGTCGCAACGAAAACTCGGAAAAGAGAGCCCGATAATCTGATACCGAGAGCACCGCGGTCCATTGTTGTCGGACACCTTTCGTTCAGTATGAATTTATGAAAAGTGCAGAGAGCAACGATTTCCTCCGAACAGAATTATACAAATTAGAAACACACTCTCCTGGTTTGTGCTAATTCAAACTGAGGAACTTTTATAAAAATTTCGACCGGAAAGGCAAGGAATTATCTCGTAGAAAAAATCGTAGGAAGAAGCATACTACCGTTATTAGCTCTTAAAAATATGCTACGACCGCCGTATCTTTCCGCTTCGAGTGATTCTACTTGAAAGTAACAACGCCGCTTTTTACGACTCGCAATTATATATTAGAGGAAAATTGGAGAAAGTCTGAGCGCAACGTGTACTTTTCGAGGTGGCGGTTTTTAAATTACGCGTGCCACGTAGTTGGGACATCCGTCTCGCGAAACGCGAGGGAAAATCATTTTCAAAAGCAGCCACGGGTTTATAAAGATAAATATCAGGCTCTATTTGAACGTTCTGAATATTCACGATAGCGGTATTTTCGAATCGTCTGGTCTGTTTTTATTGAAATTATCAGTAAATCATTTCGAGCGTGGTCATAGCTTCTATTCTACTTTGAATTTATCGAACATTTTGACCGTATTCACTGCAATATTTTGACGCGACAATAGAAAGTTTTTTAATCATACGCTCGATCCGTCGAGCAGGCATTTTGGCCCGACGCGAGGCAATAACTACGCTCACGATGACAGAGTTGCGACAACTTGAGTCGACGCTCGTGGTCAAAGAGAAGCGTCGCGTGCTTCTGAAGATGCTGCAAATTACTGGTGTCAATTACAACGTGTTTGATTAACAACTATGCGAACATTCCTCCCTTTGCTTGGAACATTCGCCTGGGGCCTTCGCTAAAGGCATTCGTGCATGAATACTTCGTTTCTGGCCAGCGTCTAAAAATTCAAAGACGTGTTCTCTATAGACGATACAGATGAAACACGATTTTCCAAATTGTTTAAATGACATCGTAAAACACTAAATTTGCATCTTCATTTTGTAACGACTAACACTCGTCTGTTTAGAACCGAAGAAAATTAAGATCCGTGAATGGTAAACATGTTACGTACAGCGTAGCGCTTCAGTCTGACTGCTTACGTACATATAATGTCAACCGCTGGGAACTTAATGAATGTTTTACATGCTCTAGATCATTCATCCTCCGCGCATTACCGTCAAGCTTGCAATTTCCTTCAGTCGGAAAGTGGCTTTCGCCTCGTCGCGATATTCAAAGACACCGGCGTAACATTACTGTCATTAAACTTCAAAACCACGTACGAGTCTGGAGTCGGTTTATGTATCGCACGTAGTTCTCTAAATTTCATCTAAATTTGAATAGAAGCTCGGACCACTGAACGGGAAAAGAGAGGTGACGAGCGGATTCTTAGAACTGTTTCACGTAAGCAGATTTACTCGTCGTCGATGAACGAAGATCGATGCTCATAGGAGTCATGAGAAGTTTCGGACAGTGCTCAGCCAATTTGTCACGAACACGAGCGTCGTTAAGCAGAACCGAACACTGTACAACCGAGTTTAATCAAGCCCGATCAGATGAAATTACGATTAACTCACGTCGTTGCCCCTCGAGGCATTAATTCGGCTCATCGTGTCAGATGACTGTGTAAATTCGCCTAATTTCGCGTGACGCGCAATCGCTCAAAATGTCTCATAAAGCAGCCGCGCTCGCTCGAACAATGCCGGAACTTTCCCGACCACTCGTCAAATCAAAAATGACATCGCGATCGTTTGCGGATTAACTTCGACGTCGATCGTAGGTCGCATTGTTACGAGGAAAATGTACGTCCGCTCCTGCGTTCGCTGTCGAGGTGTTACGTGAACCAGCTCAGTGTTCAGTCGCGTGGCATTCGAATTAAATGGAAGAAAGTGGTCACGGTGAGGAGAGCAACGAACGATACGGTGTAAATCATACTTACTACGTAACAACTTTCTTTCCCTTTCATCCGCGTGTAAAGTACTTCCTAACTGTGATACACGCGATCGCGAATCGTACGAACTTGCACTTTCAAAATTTCTTCGAATTATTATTTGACGTTCTCGCGACTCGTCTTTCATTTAAAAAAATCGATTGACCGGCGAACGAAGTTAACGGTGAGGCAGTGTCGAACGAGTGCAGTAAACTGTAGCGGAGCAATTCGGTGCGTAACGAACCGATGCACATGCACAACGCGATGCAGACACCTATACCAGGCTCGTACCGGTACCTCGGACTTGCTGGAAATGGTGTACGCATACGTCCCGCGCGTATAATTAGGGAACACGGTACGTGCCCCGGTTGACAGTTCGTTCTGTTCGACCAAGTGTTTTCACGCTGATTCGCAAGGGACGCGCCAATTCGAGCCCTGCGAAGTTTCCTCTGCTGTTCACTGCCCTCGTTTGCATAACAAGCCGAGCGGAATAATAACCTTTTTCTCCCAGAATATGATGAAGAAGAAATTTAAGATTCTACTCGATTTGACCGACTCGTTCCTTTGGTGTCACTAAATTTGCATGTCGAAGTCGATGAATTATACTCGCATTATCGATTCAATTGGTTTTAGGCATTCCCTGTAGTTTTGGTCGATTCCTTTCCTCGTTAATATCGAATTGATACGTGAAAACGTGCAAACAAGGAAGAGAGCCCAGGATCATAGAGCGATAAATCTGAAAGGCGCAAGTGGGTCGTAGCGATCTACATCGGCCTCGATTCCTGTATTCGGCAAGCAGCCACAGTTTCAACATTCGTTTAAAACTTGTAATCGCGTTTTCTCCGACTGGGACGCGATACGTCTCGATAAAGTAACAAAGTCCCGGCACTCGTTGTCTCAACTCCGCCGTAGTTTTCGAAGGAAAACCGATAATCGTCTTAAAAATCCTCTCTCCTTTCACCAATTGATAAATCCCTAATGAGGGATATCCTTTGAAAGGGGAAAGTTGCACCAGCTTCGTCGTCGCAAAACTTCCATGGAGATGAGATAGAAAAATTCGCGTTTAACGTAACGATATTCAAAATGATAGTCGACAAATCATTTGAACGAGACACACGACGAGTGCATTTCCAAGGAACGATATTTCGTGTACGCGAATCTGATGTAACTGTTTGGACGTAAGGGGATTTAAACGTCGTTCCTTTTATCTAAGAATTCCTCGTACGATTTTATTCAAATATTCGAAGGCCTCACTAGCTCCATTAGACTGGAAACTGACGAGAAGAGACTTACATTCGGCCTTCGTTCCGGCCTTTGCCACGTTTCACCAAACGGGAGACCTCGTTTCGACGTGACCCCGTAAACTTGGGGACACCTGCGGTCGGCAAGAGTCAGCCGAATGAGTTACGGGCCAGACCCACCCGTTCCACTAGGATCGACGTAATTGCGGGACAAGTGCCCCGGCTGCGTGTCATTTTCGTTGAAAAGAAAGTTTTCATCGCGGTTTAACGCGGACGAGCATATTTCCAAACGATCAGACGCGTGTGTCGATGACAGCTGCGAACGCGTTCGACGAACGCTGTTATCGAATGAAACCCGATTTTTAAAATAACGTGTATAAATATACGTGAAGGCAAATTGAAAAACGACCGTTAGCCACTGTTACCGCGTCGCCGCTCGGTTCACGCTAATATTTCATTCCGAAACCGTTATCACCTGCACGCGTGCCTGTTTATTCCATTAACTCCTCTGTCCACCGGTAAATTAATAATCGTCGCTGGGGATGTTTACAAAAATTAATTCGTCCGTCGCGTTTTAATTCGCCGCCGAATGTGACTCGTATCGGTCGTTCCAAGGGATCGCATGCGAGGAACGTGTCGCATTTGTCGACCGACATAGACAGTATGGACACCACTTGCACAGTTGCCATTTGCATCCGACATTGTTATTATTAATGATATTAACCCGTTTGTACTTTCCCACGATGATACGGCGAGCTTTTCTGTCGTGACTTCTTTTTTAAGAACTAATTTTCTCGGTGAGTCTTGAGATTATACAAAATTATTTCACGCAATGAAAACGGAAAATGATACGAAACTCACCATTGTCCCGATTCAAGTCCATTACGACGCCGTTGTTCGATACACAGGGTATTTATAATTTGTCCAGTAGCAGGTCGACGCGATTAAGTATTTCGCGAACCGGAAACGTGGATGAACCATTGAATCCTTACGATCTCGCACGAGCGGATACCCTGACGGCCGATTCGGCAGAGGTCGTGTTGGCCGTCGCGGCGACTCCACCGCTTGAAAGAGGCTCAGTCGCTTCGCGCGCCTCGTGCTGTATGTGTGCTCGTTGCATCAGTTCTTCCCAGCCCTCTCAACGCTCCGGTACGTTCGCGATTGAACGCAGCGACTCCCACGCTCGTGCGTCGATCCACGTCTCGTTTGGTTTTCCGTGAACAATTTTATTTAACGAATAAGAAACGTGTAGTCTTCGATCGACAGTGGTTTCTCTGTTAAGTACGTTCTGAATTTGCGGAGTTTCGTTTGCTGTTCTTACCAGTTCCCGGCTCGGCCCGCTGAGGTGAGTAAAGCGCGCGTTTCTTCTAGTTCTCGAGAACTGTCACGTGCATTTCAATTATCGGTCTCACGGTTCAGTGAATTTTGAAAATTGATCGAAATACATGTGATCAAATTTTGATGACGATTGACGTACTGCTGCGACGTAAACCTCTAAGAGACGTAGTCACATTTTTAAAAACAGCGAAGAAAATGACTCTTAAGGATCTCATTTTTATCTACGATCTGGAAGTCGATTAGAACGATCTCGTGATATCTGTGTAACGAGCGGTGTAAGCGTTCGCGTGACGCTTTGGAAATAGATACGTGCATTCATCTTCTGCATTAAACCCGGTATTATGGTCAAAATAACGCGTTCGGTTTTTCACCGAGTACCCGGAGCCGGGCAGCGCACCGGTGAATTATTTGTCATTTCGGTAGGGACATAAATTCTGTTTTTGAGCTGACGTTCGGTACCGTTCGATATGCGTTCGGTCAGTTAGTTTTCACCCCCCACCCCAATAATTTGGGGTTACGCGCCATGTTTTCGAGCAAAAAATGGAGCAGACCTTCCCTGGCAGCGCATCAATAGATCTTTTTTTATAGCTCCATGACGATGTTACTCGTGTTTAGGAAATAGGCGAATTTAGGAGACGTATCACTGATCAAAGACATCTGACACGTAAAGACACTGATATTAGGCGATATTACGTTGCAACAGTCGAAGGATTAAAGCTGTAACTTTTCATTTTTATTTTACAGCATTTTGAAAAATGTCTGTCCATCGAATGAATAAAAATATTTTTCACGAGTGTATCGTGCTCACTCAATTCACGTAGTAACTCGGTATAAATCTTGTGCGTACGGGGAGTTCATAAAACTTCGCGCGCTGAAAGCAAATGTTTAGCTTTCATCTTTTCCTCAGCCGTGTCCAGAAGGAAAACACACGCACGCACACAAGCTTCCGATTCCGAGGTATGATTGATAGCGGCGTACGAAACGAAACGACCAGCCACGAGTGGATTTTCGTCCGCGAACTTTTCGCGTTACTTGGCTAATCGAAAAGGAGGCCCGTTCTTTTATCGTTGAACGCAGCGGTTGGAACTCCATTTCTATCGAGATCGAATCTCGAGACCGCGAGCCGGATTAAACGAGTTTAAAATAAAAGTCAAATGGAAATTGAAGCGTGGATGCCACTTGAAAAACGTATGGAACTAATTATTAGTTTTTAAATCCGATGCTTCAATCGAAGTCTGAAGCCAGCGATTCGATTATTATAAAACTGCACGGAATAAAATGACAATGCGCGTGGAAGATCGAATCGCAATTAAAAGTCCGAGATTCACTCGACGTTGAGGGAATGCATCGGCGACAAGAAATTTCAAATACGCAGTTATAGCGAGTGTATAAGCGGTAGGTAAGTCGGCACGTTAATAATCTAGCGTACGGAACGACCCAAGGGAGATTACGTTTCCTATTTAGAACCCGGTTCTTTAAAGTTTTCCTCTTTTTTCGATCATGCAAATAAACCGTTGCACGAACATTGCGAACCACGCGTGCAACCACGTTCCGGCCGACGACGCTTCAACCGGAAGATCATCGCGTACTTCCCTTTTGATTCAGACTACTTCTCATTGATCGAGACTAAATTTTTAGTCAGCTAACGAAGCCTGTACCTTTTATAATTACCTGCTTCACTCTGAAGTCTGAGAATTAACCGCGCTTCTCTTGCATCACGGTAACCCCGTTTCGTTCGGTTCACGTGAAAACAAAGAAGTTCGCGAATAAATTTTCATCCACGGGCGCGAAACTTGGAAATAAAAAATCTGAAGACTCGCGCGAGCACGACGAAAATGAAAACTTACGGTCGAGGGGAAGTTTTGAAACGGCAGAAACCGGGAGAACTTGTTTTATCAACGAGCTAAAATACACCAGAAGTAAATTACGCTCTCGTTTCTTTTTCTGACCATTGCGAGAAGCTTGAGTGGGGTGCCAGCGCTAATTGAACCTACTAGAATGTGTTCCGTCAAATGTAATGAAAAACAGTTGTTGTTATTCATTCGTCGTGTATAATGAGAAAACAGTTTGTAGGAGGCAATGAATGTTCTAGTCAGACTCGATAATTCGATCTTTGTGCAAAAGTTCCATCTGAGTTTCAGCAAAGGAAGGTGATAGTATTTTTCCTGGGATTCTCCCGGAAGAGGATTAAAGTCCATTGAGATGGCTTGATTCTTCTTTGATGCCGGAAACAAACTCGATCGAGGAAGGATCAGGAGACAAAGGTGGATACTTCCGCGCAGTCTCGTTGACAATTAGGGAAGTTTCAATTAGCAGGGAGTCCTGAGACGATAACGCGATAGATAGGAAACGAGAGCTGCTTTTGTTTAAAGTACCGCGTTTACGAGCCATTCGCGTCTTCGAACCGACCCGTTCGAGAAACGATGATCGAGACGATAGTTTCCTCCCTCGTCCCGCTCGTAATTAACGTTCTGTTTGCAATTCACGGTTAATACAGAAAAATAAAAGAGCCGGATATGTGGACTTCCTTCCTTCCGTCCTCCCTTCCAGTGAAAAGTAATTTGCGTGCTTAACTCCGCTTCGGTCGGGAAATTTATGTAGATCCCGGATAAGATTATTCCGGTGGAAAAGTTGTTGAATGTGAACCGAGCAAACTGTTCCAAGAACGACTATGTTAAAATTTGTCCTTCTACTTATCAGACGAATTTTCTTCCTTCATTGAACGGGACGGCAGAATTAGCATCATGAAATGTATGCTTCCGAATCGAGGAGATGTTTCGTCGTAACAACTTCCTGTTTAAATTATTCGTTTTGTCAGAAATGAATTTTGAATCATCATTGGTTCTGTACTCTTGCGTAGTTTCTAACAAGATCGACGAATCTTAGGATTAACTTATTACCGTCGACTCACTTCGTATACGCGAAATCTCGTTACTGTACGTTAATTTGATCGATGATGTCCGAACGGCGGAGCAATTCTTTGGCATTAGGTGTCAGCTGCCGATGCTGATGAACGAACGCGATGGGACAGACGGGCGACGCATTTCAAAGAGCTAAAGAACAATTTCCTCGTCTGGTCGCGTTCATTCTCGTCCCGGGCCCATTTTATTCTCTGGCGATCGTAATTTCCTTCCTTAATCAGAGTGAATATTCGTTCTCATCACGCGGCAGCTATTTTACCTCCTCCTATCCTACCTAGATCGCAATTTCCCCTTTCTTACTTTATTTCTAATACGATGGAAAATCGACACTGTTTTCCCTCCTCGTTCTCGAAAGCCGTCACGCTGTTAATTGGCGTTTGTACGTGTAAATTCACACGACCGGTTCAAGCGGTCTATCGACTCTTTTAACGATTACGCCTCGTATGAATTTTGTATTCGATTGTTCGAATTAAGTCGCAGTCACTCTTGAAATCGATAAAGGTTACGTTTTGTTCGTAATGGTAGACAGAAAATGTTTTTGAACCAGAAATTGGGGCAAAGCGAATGTGCTCGGCCGCACGCGAAAATTTTTCATCGGCTTACGGTTGTACAAATTTTTTATCCCCTCGCGATCGGAGATTTTTCCAATGGTACACGTATAGAACAACGGTCGTGCAGGTGAAAACGGTGATTTTACCGTGAGCATAACGGCAAACGCGATTTGATTTATACCTGGGAATAAATTCACAACTGGTCCACGCTCTCTGAGCACGATATGTCCAGTCAATGTCGGCTTAAAAGCAAGAGGAGCAGTTTCGATTAATGCTACTTTACATCCTTTTCACCGTCCGTAACCCGCGAATGATTATTACGCCGCGGGTTCAAACGAATCATTCGCCGATCGCTGTTGATGTTAAACGATGAGGATTTCTAACTTCGTTTCATTTTCAACGTTTTCAATCGCTCAACGAATTCGTGCGAATCATTTTATCGATCGCACTACTCGATGGAAGATGATCGTGTGATAAGCGACGAGTGGGAACAGGCTGGTCTTTGCAATGCGTTTGTCAGCATAATTCGAATAGTTTGCCTCGCCGTGTACGAGGCGAGTTCGAGATAACGTGTAATCCTAATTAAAAGCTTTCGCGAAACTTTACACCGTTCGCCACTTAGTGTTGGTTTCTTCGTTTCGTTACGGCACACAATGCCAGAGTGCGGTACTTACTTACTTACTTACTTACTCCGGTGCGAAGCGCGTTGAAAGTGTTGGAAAATAAGAACTCGAAGAAGTACGCCACGTTCGTGGAAACAACTTTCGTGGTCAATAATCCTAATAGCTTCTAAAAGTATACCGCGTAATGTAGTTTCGCTTCAATTTATACGTAGTTGGCTAACAGAGAACAATCTTTCAAAATACAGAAATGTAACGTTGAACATTGGATCGTTGAACGCAGTCATTCGAAAAATAACGGTTCGCTCTGTTAAAAAACGTTTCGAGATCCGCTCAGGTTCCAAAGATAATTCATACGCGTGGGTAATTGTCACGTATAATAATTATACTCTCAGGTGTTACGAGCTCCATACACGCGTTTTACGATTTCCTCGGCAATGGTCGCCTCTCTTCGTTCCCCTGCCCATTATTTTATACCAAAATTGAAACGAACGGCGAACAACCCCTGGCTGGCAAGAATCGCGTGACATTGTTCCAAGCAGCTCGCTGTGCAGTTCGCTCTTTTCTGTCGCTCCACGTCGTTTCCCTCTCGTTTCTTCCACTGCACCAGTTTTATCGTCCACCGAATGATAATGTACCCTCTAAACGAAACCACGTTATCGACCCCCTTCGCGCGAGCGAGATGCATCGATCGCGGTCGCCGATATTTTTTTGTCCCCCGTGTCACAAACTTTTGCCCGTGGAACTCTCCGAAGTCGCTCGAGAGCTCGCAATTTATTACGACAGTTCGCTCGTTCCTATTTCCTCGTGTCTCGATACGTGAGACTCGATCGAATTATGCAAATTTATAATTACGTCGTATTAAAGGAAACAGAACGGAGATCAGATAGTGTGTTCATAAAGTCGAACGCACGCCCGCGCGTATAACTAATTAACTATAGATTCTCGTCAAAAACATCAGAATTATTTGAACCGTCACTACGGTTGTGAGCCGGTCGATGCGATCGAAGATTCGAAATACCGTACGCCCACGCGAGCCGTGGCAGGTGCACGGACGTCGCGCCAGTGAAAATCGTACACGTAGCATGCGTTCCTCTGCCTGCAGGATATCAGGAC